GATCCTATTTGGGGTTTTCTTGGCAAAGATACTAGAGTGGTTTGACATTTCCTTCTCCAGCACATTTTACAGATGAGGCAAACAGGGTTAAGTGACTTGCCCAGGGTCACACATCACACAGCTAGTAAGTGTCTGAGGCTGGATTTGAACTCAGGAAGATGAGTCTTCCTGACTCCAGACCTCCTGCTCTATCTCAATACTCTAGGCAACTCTTTAAGACTATGATTAGCAATGAAAGTGGCAACTTGCTTTGGAAGAGAGAGTATCCACATCTGGAAGTTCCCCATGCAAATGAAATCATTGGTCCAGTCCCTATCCCTATCCTATGAGCAAGCAAATGTAATAGGCGGAGGGGCTGTAAAGAAAAAAATGAAGTAATCATGACTCTTATCTCTCCATTCCTTCCTATATTGAGCCAGATGCTAAGTCTTATTAACTTCATCTTGTTCACTTCTATTTCTTTTTCTATGTTCACACAAGCACCACTCTTCTCATCTCCCTCTTGTCTATTGTAATTTACAGATTGGTCTCTTTCAGTTTTTCCCTTTTCCACTCCATCTCCCATATATAGGCCAAAATAAAGGAAGAAGAAGGAAATAAGTGTATATAGATCACCTCCATTCCTTCCGTCTCTTCCCCCTAACAACAACGAAAAAAATCTGAACGATTCGGAAATTTGCCTCTGCTTATGTTGTGGGGAACTGGCAGTCAACAGCATCTATTCACTCCACCCAGAAACAAGGCCACCTTATTCCTGTCCCCTATCCTCCAGTCAGTACTCACTCCATGTACACTGTTCTCTTAGGGCAGGGTCTAAAAAGGCAGGTGGCCTCACTCCTGGGAAAGTCCCTTCTCTCTGTCCCACTCCTCATGTGCATCTGTTCACTGTGGTGATTAACAGAACCCTCTCCTCTCTCAGAAAGGCTCAGTCACAGAACAAACATTTCCTCCTCCTAACCCCCCAGATGGGAGCCACAAGCCAAACCAGGAAATCGAGGGGAGAGGTGGGGATGAGAGGTGGGGATAAGGTGTGGAGAAGCTTTCCCATCCCTGTTTCTTAGCTTCACAGGGACCTGCCACACGAAGCTCCCTTCAGAGCTGGGCTGCAGGGGTTGATCCTGGCTAATGAGCTATCTCCTTTGCCAGAGGCCAGCCTGATTCTCCCTTTCATTCAACATAAAACAGTAACAGGGCACCAGGCATCAAGAACGGACTCTTCCTCACAGATCAAAAAGGAAAGAGCCAAAGGGTCTGGGAAGGTATTGCTCTAGAGAGAAAGCACAAAACAATGGGAGAATTTAATAGGAAAGAAACAGACACCCAGAAAATACTCTCATGTGCAATTGCCTTGATAAGAACCTCGGAGCTGGGTGGAGGCCCAAGGGATTGTGGTGTCCAGTCACTGACCCCTAATTTCCCCTTCCCAGGACCGGAGGGCAGATGTAGCCCTCCATTAATTAGTCATGGCAGGCAGTTATCTGCCTTACCTATTAAAGAGCTCTACAATAAGAGATCTCCTGCCTCACCCTACCTTCAGTAGCCTGTTCCAAGGCTTAACATTTGATTTTTCAGCAAATTGTTCTTTATGGTTAACTCAAGTCCCTCTGACTACAGTACAGGTCACTGGCTCACCCTAAGATGAATGTGTGATCCTTATTTTACAGGACTTGAAGCTGGAATGTACCTCAAAAGTCATCTAGTCCAATTAGCTCATTTTCCACAGAAAGAAACTGAGGCCCCAAGAGGGGAACCCAGCTCTCTGACACCCAAATCAATAAGTGCTTCTCTTCCTATTCATGCTTGCATGTTTATTAAGGAAGGTATATTTTGTTCTGAGCATGAGGCACACTGGAAATTAAACACGCCTTTGAACATTCGAACAAGAGTCTTCTGGAAGCATATTGCTTTATCCCAAAGTGGCTTTGAGAGAGGGAATTTCATGCACCTTGGCAAGTGGGGAGGGTACCAGCTCGGGCAGCAAGGAAGCCCTATAGTGGCCTTCAGATCATACTTCAGATCATTGACAGCCACCTGCGTATAATAATAATAGTTAGCATTTATAGAGTGCTTTAAGGTTTACAAAGTGCTTTTACAAATATTATCTCATTTGATCCTCACAATAACTCTGGGAGATAAATAGCATCATTAACCCATTTTACAGATGAAGAAACTGAGGCTGAGAGAGGATAAGTGATTTGTCCAGGGTCACATAGCCATTAAGTGCCTGAGGCCAGATTTGAGCTGAGGGCTTCTTGTCCCCGGGTCCGAAGCTCTATGCACCGTACCACCTAGCCGGCCCCTTTGGGAAATCTCCTGAGTGACTCTGTTTCTCCTCTCTTCCTCCCCCATCCCTGTTCCCTGGGAAGCACCAAGGATACTTTATCAGAATTGTGGCTAGAGGAAGCTGGTGCTGCACCAAGGACACTGGGGGATCTTCTTGGAGATCTGCCTGGAATTGGGAGCACGAAGTTATTTCTAAGCTGTGTTTGAAGGACCAGAAAAGGAGAAGGAAGAGAAGAGAAAGGAGGGTAATGGAAATGAAGCAATCAAGGACAGAGAAGACCCAATGCCTGGGTAATGAGGTAATAAAAGGACTAATCTTTCAACCAAGGAAACTGAAGCTGCCTCATGCAATGTCCATGTCTATGAGGTAGCTGCAGTACAGAAATGCAGACTCTCATCTCATAGGACTACGTTGCTTCCCAGCTGGAAGGGATCATGAGGATCGTCTAGTCTCATTTTACAGAGAAGGAAACTGAAATCCCATGCACTTAAATAATGACAAAAGTCACACAATTTGTGGCAGAGCAGAGACTGAGCTTTCCTAGTTCTCACAATACATCTAATGCCTTATATATGCTAAAAGTCTTGTTTTTCCCAATTATGAACAATCCTGAGCCCTGGCTACTCCTGTAGCCTGTGCTACAACAGGGTGAGGCTGTTTGGGAGGTAATTGGTGTGGGTCTTCTCAGAGGTGACAGAAGGCAGTAACTGGCCATGGTTCCTGGAAACTCTGTTCAGTGGCCTTATATTGTGGTGGGGGTGAGGATTGGCAGGACATTAATGGTTATTGGACAAAGGGGGCAAGGAAGACAAAGGGGGGTATACTATATAATTGCCTGACTATAAAGTCAAGACTGTGAAGAGAAGAGAGGCACAGCAAGGGTTAGACTTGGAGAAAAGGAGAGTAGAGGTATTGACAAGGTCATGGTGAAGATGAAGAATTGCATTAGGAGGAATGAGGCAGAGGGAAGGCCTAACTTATTTCAGTCCTAGGTGTTGGAGATAAATATCTCTGCACTCAAATCTTTTGAGAACTAACGTGAAGACAAAATCAAATAAAGTTCTACTTAAAGATACAGGTCCCATTATCCTAAGGGCTGAAAATAGCTTCAAAAGGGATTTATGACCTAAGTGGATAGCCAGACAAAGGTATTAAAGGTAACCAGGATATTGGGGGAATTTCATGTCAAGGAATCTCCCTGTCAAAGACAGAACCAGGACATGCTTTCAATTCACTTAAACAAAAAAGTGCCCCCATGAACAGGACATGATCAGTCAGTGTGATCATTCTGACAGAGGGTCCCCAGGAGTAGAGTCTCAGTCTCACTTGTATTGGCTGGTTTTGCCAGGGTCTTATTTGGAAGTAGGGGAATGCAGACCAGTCTGGCCATCCTTGTCACCCCAATTACCACTCAGCAAAGTAACCCAGGTAATTCCCATAATTCTCATACACAGAGGGAGAAATTAGGGGAGATGTGGCCTCTGTGGAGCCAAGGTTTCTCAGCTTCCCCAGCAGTCAGGATTGTTCCTGTGGGTCTTGCCCTACCTTCGTCAGCTCGTCTTTCTCCTGGGTGTGGATGTCTTCAAGTATCTTCCTCTCTGAGTGAGCTTTCTGCAGCTCTGCTCGGAGGCTCTCAATCTCCTCCTGGAGGCTCAGCCGCTGGCTGTCATCCCCACCCTGGCTCTCCTGGTATCTCATCAGTTCTTTCTTCAGCTTCTCCACCTCCATGTTGTGGACAGAGGTCACCGTGGACAGCTGCTCTGTCAGGCTCCTGAATTCTTTGTTCTGCAGGGAACAATAGCACCCCTTCTCCAGCCTCTCCCCAACAAATGGGGGAAGGAGAGAGAAGGAGAGAGAAAGAGAGGGGTTACATTGGCCAGGCAAGGGCATGAAGGCTAAGAGAGGAGAAACATCCCAGGCAGAATAACACTTCAAGGTTATGACGTGCTTGAGAGGTTTCTCAGTGTTTCACTAATAAAATTCTGGGAAAAAGAATACAAAGGAAACAAACAAATTGATATCAGCATCTCTAAAACAGTCTGAGATGTTTATGAGATATCTCCTGAGCTGGAAGCTGGCTGACAGCTGCCATTTGGGGATGGCAGCTAGCTGGCTCGAAAGCCAAGCTACATCACGCTGAGGAGATTCCAAGAAAAAGACACACCACTGGATTCAGTCATGCTATAGCCTTTCACTGTTCAAGTTGTTCTGCTTTATCCCCCATGGGCCCCACTCCTACCCTGGGAATCAGTTGGCATAATGAGCTGCAACCTAATCTCTGACTCCCAGACAAAGGACCCCTTCAGGAACAATCCCCCATCTCCCCTCCCTCATCCCCACACCACTACCACCACAGAGCCCTTCTGACAGTCCTTGTTACTCATTCCCACTACCTGTTCATAATTACTCATCCTCTGAGGCCCTCTCTGGCTCTATTACTCTATCCTTTCACCAAAGGGGTCCAAGATGCACCAGACCAGTCAACCAGACTGTCAACCAGTCCATCAACTGAATCTATTTTCAACATCTGCATGTTGCTAAATGCTGAGGTGAGGAAGAGGCTATAGAAGTAACATAAGGCACAAGCTCTGTCCTCAGGTAGCTTACAGTCTGGTTGTGGGGATGACATGCACCCACACGAAACAATTAGAGAATACCATAAGATTGTATTGAATCGTGTTTAAGTTGTGAAAGACAGACTGTAAAATGCTGGTCAGGGTCAGTTAAAGCAGTTAGCTCAATGGAGGAAGAAAGGGAGCAGGAAGGAAAACATGCCAAAGTATTTCTTAAGCAACATATCCATTGAAAACCTTCACTGCTACATGCTCCCAGAATAAATGAAAAGAATGTGCTATTTTGGCTGAGAAGCATTCTGAGAAGCTTGTGCTTAGCTCTTCAATATTATCCACACAGGAAATAAATACAACCAACATGCTTGCATTATAAATGTTAACACACAAAACTGGCACACACACACACACACACACCCAAGAGCAAATTCTGGGGAGACCCAAAATGAGAAAACCCAACCAGACAGACAACTCTGATCTACAATGAAAGGGGTAGGAAGTTGAGTAAGGTTTGGTGCTGGAAACTAGTGATAATATAACAGCATATGTCCAAGAGCCCAGTTCTCTGATAAACTGGTGACAAATTAAGCTTTAAATTCTATATTTTTTCCAGTAACCAGCCAGGATACAGAAATCCCACCACAATGATAACCTCCAGGTTACTACCCAACATTCCCACATGTCCTATCTGGTCTGAATATCAGCCTTGCTCTCAGGAATCATAAATAATAATAAAAAATCCCATTACATTGTACCCACTTGACAAAGTAATCTCTTGTGACTTGTTCCCAATCTTAACAAGGGCCATTTCTGCAGGAGGTTTTTGGGAAAGAAACACAAGCAGCGATTGCAGCATCTACCAATTCACTTTGACTTTTTCTGTTTTCAACCTATTGTTGTTGGTGTAGTTGATCTTTCATTTATGAAGAGGACCAATGATATCATGAGGCTTAATTGGATTTAAGTGAGGTAGAGCTGTGCAAAGTCATCAGGTTCACTTTCTCCTCCAGAATCATCAGAGTCCAAGGGAGCCTGGGAAGCAATGGGGGACCCTGGCCTTTCTAAATTAACATCTTTCCCAGGTCTCTATTCCAAGTTGGAGGGAAGACTCAACTTTTCCTGGCTTCCCAGCCAAGGATGTCTGAATCACAAGATCATCTACAGTATCCTCTCAAGTCCAATAGTTTTGGAAGAATGTACATGTGACAGCATGTACAGGGTGGTTCCTACAGTGATTTTCCATTCATGGCTATAGCAGGTAATGGATAATTAGGGCAAGGTGAGGAAAGTGGGTATCTGGGCTGGGCACAAAGGAGTGGGAGAGAATGGGCCAGAAAGATTGTTAAAATTTCAGGGTGAGCATTTATACCTCTGAAATCAGGAGTTTACAAGTTTACAAGTTAGGGCTTGATGTGTCCTGTGTACACAGCTGTCAAACATTTACCATCACACCTGTGGTATAGTCTTGGTGTATGGAGGTACACAAATAAAGTGGGCAGAGCACACATCAGTTATCCTACCCTGGACATTTCTACAACTTACATTTCCTGGGAAATTACTGCCCATAGAATGTTAATGTTATGACATCAGTCAAGGTAATACTCAACACCTTTCTGTATGTGTATAAGCATTTCAATCTTCCAGCTTCACATTCCGCCCCTTCAAATGAGACCAGATGCAACTGCCCACAGTATCATCTGTCCTCTCTAGCCTCCTTAAAAGCACTTAGAGTTTACACTACATATTTGGTACAGGGAATTCAGTGTAGTAGAAAGGGGTATGGACTTGGAATCAAGACACTTGGGTTTGAATCTAGATTCCACTGAGTGATTCTGGGCTGGCTCCTTGACTTCTCTGAGTCAGTTTCCTAATGGGCAAAATGGGATAATACTTTCACTACCTACTTCCCGGGGCTATTGGAAGGCAAAGACTTTGTAAACCTTGAAGCGCTTTCTCAATCCCTCACTCTAAAACTCGAAAGGCTCCTCAGTACCTCTGGGATAACACGCAAAACTTCTCAGCCTGACATTTAAGACCTTTCTCACTAGTGGCTTTCTTCCTCCTCCTCAATCAATCTATAAGCATTTATGAAACATCTACGATGTGCAAGACCCTATACTATGTGTTGGGAGTAGAAAGACCAAAGCAAAACACTTTCGGCCCTCATGGACCTTAAGTTCTTACATTTCCCTCTCACTTCTGGGCTCCTATAGAGCACATACTAGCCACCCCACAGTGATTATTTACCACTTGGCCCTATGTGGCGGCAAGTGATTGAGAGGTAATAAAGGCATCAGCAGAAAGCCTGGTTTATTCTATCAATCTGGCAATGGTCTGATTTGAGGATTAGTCTCAGACACTTTCTTCTTTTTTTGTGTGTTAGAGGCAGTCTTATTTTTTTAATGAGGCCAAGCAGAGGATCCCTAAACTGTTAATGGATAAGCTTATGCCATGCCCCAAAATACCCTTGAGAAGCACTCAGAGGTCAAAAGGATTGGACACATATCGTATGCTTCTGAGAATACCTGTGCTGACTCAGGGCTTGCCCCCGATGAATGTCTAAGGGGAATGGGAAAAGAGGCAACCAGGCACCTGCTTCACTAAATATTATCAAATGAGACAAAATTCATAAAGTGTTTAGTACGGTGCCTGGCACACAGAAGGCACTTGGTAAATGCTTGTTTTTTTACCCATCCCCTTAATGATCAGTGCCATCATCATCCCAAACCAAATCACTGAGAACAATGCTTGTGGATATGGCTTCAGGATGACATAAAGGAAGATGCAACACGATGTTTGAGGACAGAGTAGGAATTCCAGAATCAGAAGGGATGGACATCAGAGGCTACCTCTTCCAACACATATGTGAAAAGGAATCCTCACTACAGTATACTAGGACAATAATGACAACTAGTACTACTGCTACCGCTACTGTTGCTGCTGCTGCTACTACTACTATCACTATTGCTGCTTCTCCCACTACTACTGCTTGATGTGTCCTACTACTACTGTTACCTCCGCTACTATTATACCACTACTATCACTGCTACTGTTATTACTATTGCTGCTGCTACTACTACCACTGTTACTACTTCTACTGTTGCTACTCCTCTTCCTCCTACTAGTACTACTACCTCCTGCCATTTATATAGTGCCTGTGCCAGGCATTGTGTCAAGCACTTTACATCGTTATCTCATTTGATCCTCACAAAAATCCCAGGAGATAGGTCCTATTATTATCCCCACTTTACAAACGAGGAAACTGAGGCAAACAGAGGTTAAGTGGCTTTCCAAAAATCACTCAGGAGGCTCGACTTGGACTCAGGTCTTCCTGATTTCAGGCCCAGCACTCTATCCACTTCGCCACCTCACTGCTAAGGACATCTGATGCAGCCTTTGCTCGAGAGCCTCTGAGGGAGGGGAACCCATTAATAGTATCTGACATTTTTACAGAACTGTAAGGTTTATAAAAGCACTTTACATACATGATTTCTAGCAGCTCTCAGATTGTTCTTCACTGTTAGGAAATTTTTTCCTTACATCAAGCTAAATCTGTCTCTGCAAATTCCACTTATTGCTCCTAGTTCCATCCTCTGAACAAATCTAATCACTGTCCCACATGAGATAGTTTTTTTCAAGCACTTTTAGACAGATCTCACACGTCCTGAGTGTTTTCTTCTCCATGCTAAACATCTCTGATTCCTCCAGCAGATCCTCATATGAATGGCAGGTATAAAGGGGGGAGGCTGACTAAGGACGTCCCCCACACAGTGGGATGATCCCAGAGACAATGGACATGCCCATTCCAACCTGTAAAGAAACTCATAGGGTTACAGACTCAGGGCTGGAAGGCACTCGGAGGCCACCTAATCCAGCCCTCCCATTTTACAAATGAGGAGCCTGACACCCAGGGAATTTAAACGACTGGCCCAAGGTCACACAAGTAATAAGCACCTGAGGCAAGATTTGAACACAGGTTAGTTTAACGAGCCTACCTCGTATTTGAGAGTTTGGGGATCGAATTTTCTGCAGACAGAAGGGGATTTTTGGAGAAATGAAAGGATCACTCATACGGCTCCTGCACCTAGAAAGCAAAGCTGCAACATATGAGGCAAAGGATCTGGGCCTTGCTACCCTCACCCCTCATTTTTATAGCGAGCTATTCAGACCGGTTTGATGGGATGGGTGCTACCTGTTGAGAATCTCCAAAGTGAG